CGGCAGAGGAATGGTTGGGGAAGAGGACGATGGCAAAGGGGAGCTGGACGTGGGAGCACGAGGGGGGCCAGGTGAAGGGGATTCAGTGGGTTGGAGAATGGTATCGGGATGGGAAATGGTAGCAGGTTGGGAGGAAGGTGGGCCTGGAGTGGTGGAGTTAGGAGGATGTGAGAGAATTGGATCGGGCTGGAGAGCTAAAGTGGGCCGAGGGGAATGGGATGGCGGGGTGAGGGTAATAAAATGGGTTGGGTTGTTAGGGGCATAGGAGAAACAGATGGTGGAGAGGAGAGTAGATCGGAAAAGGGGAAACGATCCTCATCAAACAAAACATGGCGGCTCACATATAGTCGACCAGTGGAAATGTGAAGGCAACAGTAACACTTGTGAAGCTTGCTATAACCAAGAAAAACACATGGGAAAGAACGGGGAGCAAGTTTGTTTGGTGCGAGTGGGCGAAGCCATGGATAACAAAGACAATCAAAAACACGAAGATTGGAGAGATCAGGAGCAAGGTGAAAAAAAGTGAAAAGGAGAATCATTGTGAAGAAGAGGTGTAGGTGTGCGATTAATGAGATAACATGCAGTATCAAAAGCAAGGGTCCAATATTTTTGTGGGACGTTCGAGTGATGAGGAAGAGCAAGACCATTGTTGACTATGTGCCGATGTTTGCGTTCAGCACATCCATTCTGTTCAGGAGTGTATGGACATGAGGAGCGATGAGCAATACCATGTTTAGAGAGATAGGTAGACAGAGCTTGATATTCGCCACCCCAGTCAGATTGAAAAGTTTTAATGGGGAGGCCAAAATATTTTTCTACCAATTAACGAAATTGAATGAAAACATTAAGCAACTGAGATTTATAACGAATGAAATAAATCCATGAGAATTTGCTATAATGATCATAGAACAAAATGTAATAGGATTGCTTATCGTAAGACAAAACAGGAGCAGGGCCCCATACATCACTACAAACGAGTTCAAGGGGAGCAGTTGCTTGAAAAGTGGAGGAAGAAAACGGAAGCTTGTGGATTTTACTAATGGCACAACCATGACACAAAGAGGAAGAAGAAGAAGAAATAAACTTTATTTGATGCTGATGAAGAGCGTGCTTGACGGCCCTCTCATTAGCATGACCAAGACGACGATGCCAAACGTCAAAAGAAGCCGCACAAGCAATGGGAGGAAGATGAAGGGAAATATGCAGTGGAAGGGAGTACAGACCGTCCACCGCATAACCTCGATGAAGTTCATGCCCCGTGCGTCGATCGTTGATGAGAAAAAGAGAATCTAAAAGGATTAGATCGAGTGAGAGAGCTGATAGAGAGCAAATTATACGAAGCATGGCGGACATGAAGAATGTTATCCAAAGAAATGGAAGTGTTTGACAACGAAGTGGAGGAGGAACCAAAACTAGAGATGGGAAGCGAGTTACCGTTGCCAAAGGTGACCTGATCAGTGCCATTATATTCAGAATGATGAGCAAGGTTGTCTAAATTCGAGGTAAGATGATGGTTGGTGCCAGAATCGAGGAGCCACTGCTGCGGATTAAAGGACTGGGCAGGAGAGGAGGAGAATAGGGTATGTGGGTTGTAGGGAGGGGCCGAATTATATTGTGGGGCGGACTGGGCATATTTGTTGGTTGTTGCTGAAATAGGCTTGGGCAGTGGGACTTAACGTGGCCACGCCCACCATAGTTGTGACACACAACAGGACTAGTGGACCAAGGCCCAAGAACTCCACCACCCGCGTTACTCGACCTGCCAACAGAAGAAACAAACATATTTGGGTTAGAATAAAAACGACCGCCGCCACGAGAGAAACCCCGACCACGCCCACGTCTGCCTCTGCCGCGGAATCCACCACCGCTGGAATAGAAAGCAGCAGGGGAAGGAGAATCCGAACGAGAAGAGAATCGATGGATCTCAAGCTCGTCACTGAGGAGCAAGGAGTGGAGATCTTCGAAACTGATTGGGGCCATCCGTGCTTCAATATGACGGACGAACGGTCGATAATCCTCACCCAATTCGTCAAGAATCCAGCCGGTAAGATTGTCGTTGGAGACGGGAGAGCCTAGGGCAGCTAACTGATCAGCTTTGGCTTTGGCATCACCACGGCGGATGTGCTGAAGTGTCTTGGTGAGCTGCCGAATCTGGACGTGAGAACCAGAGGCGTAGATGGTAGCCAGCGCCGTCCACGCCTGAAGAGCCGTTGTCTTGTTGATGACGTTCGGGAGTACAGCTTCAGAAAGGGATAGATTAATCCAAGTAAGCACGTACTGGTCACGATCATACCAGGTCCAGTACGCCGGATTGGGTTGGTCATTAGGGATGGCAATGGGGCGGGTTTGGGGCGGGTTTGCCTAAACCATCCCCATCCCCATCTTCAAATACCCAAACCCATACCCGCCCCATACCCATGCGGGGGAATGTTTTGCAAACCCATCCCCATACCCGTGGGTTTCGGGTACCCATGGGTAATACCCATCCCCGTACATCCAACATTATTATACCTAAAACTTACAAGAAAAGTTTTAATTATAATCATAAACAAACCTATTATATCACGAAGTCAACAAAACAAGGTCATTTTCTAAATACGATTCAAAGAATATGATCCTAAAACATCCATTAATACATAATATAGACTATAATATTTTTTAAATTATTATGCTCTAACTCTTGATACATTTACTAAGTAATAATTAACTAACATAATTTTGTTGACAAGGGGGAAAGTGAAAGAGTGGAAGGAGAATTGAGGGAAATGAATTAGGTTTTGATTAAGGTGGTTACTCAATTGCATTTCTACTATTTATTTTCTCGAGTTATCATCATCATCATTGATAGATTATAATTTAATCCACGTATTTTTTTATATGTGAAGAAATTCTCTTGGTGGGGCGGGTATGGGTATGGGTATGGGGCGGGGGAGGCTAAAACCATACCCGCCCCATACCCATCAAACCTTTTGCGGGTTTTACCCATACCCGCCCCATACCCGGTCAAAGCGGGGATTCCCCGCGTTGACTGGGTATGGGGCAGTCGGGTACCCGCGGCCATGGGTTTGATTGCCATCCCTATTGGTCATCGACAAGTTGCGGTGGAGCAGGGAGAGTGCCGTCAACATGACCCATCAAACGATAACATCGCGGAAGAGGGGTTATTTGAGCGTGCCATAGCAGGTAATTGGTCTGCGTAAGTTTGACAGTCAGTTGTGGGTTGATAGGGAGAGACAACGTGGACACCGGAATGGAAGTAGATCCGGCAGAGGGAGCAGTGGAAGAAACAGAGGAAGACTTTGTTGCCATTTTTTGTTGGTAGAGAAAGAAGAAGAAGGGAAGAAGAAAGAGACGAAAAAAGAAGAGAGAATTTGACTCGTTAGAGTGCTAATGGCTCTGATACCATGAAGGCTCCAAGTTTAAGTTTCTATTATTGATTAAACATATTTATAGTGCGCAGCAACAGAGTGCAACGAATGAATAGCAACAGAAGGAGCGAAATAAGGAACAGAAAGAAGTGGCCAACGTTCCACTACTAACAGCTAACATCAAAGGAGAAACTTAGGGACCAAGTCCCTTATCAGTTATCACCAAGGAGCTCCCTTGAAGCCTATGTACCGTATGCAATTCTGCGGTCAATCTAAAACCAGTAGTATTCGAGCTCTCCGTCTATGCCACTGGCAACGCTCAACATGGCTTCTCCTCGCCAGTCCCCTGTTGTGCCCTTAGGACACGTTTCCCCTGGTATGAGCCAGCTTCCTGGGGACTCAACACCTCAGTATTGGGCTAATGATTCTTCTTCGAGCTACTTCAAGGGCTCATATAGCCAGGAGCACCCTTACGATACTGATGGTGGTGGGAGTGCGAGGAGCAGAAAACAGTAACAACAACAACAAATCCAGGAATGTTAGACGGTCTGGTCCGCTGGATTACAGCTCAAGCAGGAAAGCTGAACACATGGAAGGGTCGTCCAGCACGGGGCTAAGCCCACTGCCGAGGTTTGCAGTGTCGTGGTCTGGTCCTTTGATGCATAAGTAAGCTACAGAAAGGAGGTGGCCATGGTAGTATTTTTTTTCTGTATGATCTTTCTGTTTCTTATTTTGATGATAGTTGTGTATATGTATCCTGTATCTACCAGACCTCATGTTACACTGTCCAATCCCAGTTTGGTTTCAGTCATGAGCCAGTCACTTATAATGGGAGATGAAGAACCCAAAGCTGCTTCATTTGACGAGTAAAGTCGGCGAGTTTACAAGGTTACAGTACAGAGGTAAACACCATCTACCTCAAGCACATCAATCTGCAACCACAGATCAGAAGACAGAATAACAAAAAAATTAACACTTATAGAGATGGATCCTTTCTAGTACTGGTCCACTGGACATAATGGTAAGCAAGAACTAAGAAGGATAGCAATAAACAGCAAGAAAAGGAAGGAGAAAGGTTGGTGGGGGACTTAATAGGTACTTCGAGGCTGATCTCGGCATGAGCTCCTGGACCTTGCTGGGATCATTTGCTCTGGTTCGCATCAATGGCCGACTAATCTGATCCAGAGGCAACTCCCTCTATGATTGGCCCTCCCGTCCCTGCCTGCTGTGCATCCTCTTAAAACAAACAAACAAACAACAACTACGAATCAAATACAACGATCACAACCTTCTTCATTGTCACCACTGAGAAGAAGAATCTCAATAACCATTACACGATGAAGCAGCTGCTGCTGGCACACATAGAAGCCTCAAGCCTCTGAGGTTAGCAGTTGGTGCTCGCACGATGAAGTCACGCCAATTATCATGATCAATGTTAATGGTCATTTCTGTGCAGATTAATTACTAGGTCTAGGCTGCTACACCTTCGTGTCCTTCATCCTGTAAATTGTTACCTTGAATGTATGCTAGAATAGGAAGAGGTTATCGTTTGATGGCGCGGTTGAGATCATCATGAGTTGGTTTTGTGGTCTACCATTCCTCCCTTATTGGTCAAATCGTGGTTTTCTCCAGCATTGGTTTTGCTTGACGTACTGCATTGATGAAGAGGCTGACGCGAAAGCAGCAGCTGCTACTCTTGATGAAGGAGCTCCCACTATGTATGTACTCTCCATATTCTGTAAACCGGGTTCCAAGAGCTGACACTTGACGCGTTTCTTTGTTTTGCATCTGTCGGTCTTGTTTGGGAGGTAGGGTTGTATTTAAATTAGGATTATATCATATAGAAGATTTGATGATGCATCAACACATGTAATAGTTGTCTGAGTCATATCGACATTTTGTTCATCATCTGTATATGTTGTTTTTTCCCCTTCATTCGTCAGTTTTGACAAGATCATAGCCAAGGAAATCCCTTCATTCATTGTGTACGTAGACGAAAAGGTCCTGGTATTCTGGGACATCAGTCCTCAAGCTCTTGTTCATGTCCTAATTATTCCAAAGATCGGGGATGGGCTGACAGAGCTTGGCATAGTAAGCTTCCATCCATGTTTTCATTATGCAGACTAAAAACAAAGCACATACACGTCAATCGCTTTTGTGTACTTGTAGCTCTGCAGTACATTCTTTCCCCACTTTCATAGATAGAAAGCATTTGCATGCTTGAGATGAACTGGAGGTTACATGTTTTGCAGCACTGTCTTGAAGGAAGTCACTTTCAGGCTGATGTGCGTCTTATTAGGCAAATCATTCTTTCACAATGTCACTATGCATTTACTCCTTTTTCTCTTGTTTTAATTGTTCCCAGAGTTTATTCGCTTATTCCTTCCTGGCTTCCTTCCTTGGATGCCAAAACGCACTCTGCCAACTTCTCTATTCTGCCAAAAATAGTTGCAGAGAAAAAAGGTATAGTTGATGAGTTTCGGGTGGTTATCGACAGTGGCCCTACTGCCTGTAAGCACCAATCTTTCATCTGTTAGTCTGGAGTAAGTGCTCCTTCATTCATTGTTTCCCACTGCCAGAGTTCGTGTGACGATCTCTGTGGGTTGCTTATCCCGGTCAATCTGTTTATCATCTCCACCTGCATGTCCTAGGAGGAAGACAGATGAAGTGGCCTCCTGGTTAGCTAGCTAAAGCGAATTCCTCTCCATCGTTGTGTCTGCTGCAACTTCTACTACCCCCCAGCTGGAACTTCACTTGTAAATAACTTGGAAACTGAGTGGCTAGAGAGCACTAGTCGGCCTGCAGGTCTTCGCTCATGGCCATCGGAGCAAATTCCATCCCTCATTTCAGCCTCTTTCTATTGCTTCCATTAGTTGTTGCATGACTAAAGAAGACGACCAATCAAACAGGCGAATTCCATGAAATCAATCTGTCCTCAACTTCACGGTTCCATGTCCTTTGCACATTAGACACAGTGAACCTGTGTACAAAAAGACGAACCAAAGGTTCCTAACAGAAGCATTTGAAAAAACGTAACCCATGATTTTGATGAATGAAACTCTTTTAATTAGAACATTGTGATCAACTTATCATTTGCCTAGATGTATAAAATCAATGAATCGCATTTCTCTGTGAGGATACAAGGTAGATAGAGGTAGAAAATAAATATACAACTATGCTTGCTGTCGAAAGTAAGCCTTTGACAAAATCATCTCTCGCTGGTAACCTTCCCTGTTGAAGGAGCAGGCAAGACCCCAAAGTATAGGGCACAAACTGACCTCATTCTGCAGAAGTTCATCATCGTCCATTCATCTTCTGATTTCCAGGATTTCGATTACGATGTGCCTAGATGAGTCCCTTACGGATCATTGTGTACCACTAGCTCGCAGACACAGAAAGACAAAATCCTACTCATCATCATATGGAGGTTAGGAAGCCAGTCTTGTTTGTACACAGGCAAGAACAATCTGGCTCACTCAAGTCCCTCTTGATGAGCCTTTTATCACGATTTATCATCAGCTTTATCAATGGTAGCTTCTGTGACACTTGACGCCATATTTCATTCACTGCTCCATTTGGTTCCCCATACTCAAAATAGTGGCTTACCTGAAATCAGTAGCCAGTCACAGTTACATCATCTTAAACTCAGGTATAAGCTACAGGAATCATAAAGACAATCAAAAGAACTGTGATGATTGCAATCAGCTTAACAAACATGTCTTATGATCAGGCGATCAGCAGTAGCACCTGCAATTCAGCTCCTCAGCAGTAACAAGACTTGGTTCATGGCACATACCAATACTCAACCTAACCTCTCCCAGTTCAAACAGATTAACAAGCAAATAGGCGATAGATTGGACGATCTTTTGAGGCTCATCGTAAGCAACATAGTAACATATACCTGTTTCAGCTCTTTCTGGAACTCCAGAATTCTCTCTGTGCTTACTCCTCTCAGCAAACTAGCCAAGTAGCCAGGTCTCAGAGAAGCTTTTGTGCCCACGAAGATTGCAATCTTTTTATAGTCTATCACATCTTCAAAAGGCAACTCAATGCTGTCACTCACGATCACAGGAACACACAAGCTAACAATCGCATCGAACAGCCTGCAAGCCGACGGAGTGTCCCCGGCCGGATTCAAACAGAATTTTGAAGTATGCATCCCGCGAGTGGCCGCCCGGCGATTCTCCCTCGACTGCGTCCCGTGTTTTATGATCACATCGTCCTCGGTTTCCAGCATTTGGAATAGCAGGTCCCGAATTTTGCCTCCCTGAAACAAGAACAATAACAACAGAACACCCATGGGAAATTAAGCGTGGGAGTGAGAGAGGATCAAGCAGAGGTGAATTGGGGGGAGAAAGCTTACATCTTTCCGGTACCGATTGCCCATGAAGAAGAGCAGTGTGCCCCTCTTCTCCACTCCCAATTCGCCGGTGTAAGAGTTGATCCGGTGAGCGTACGGTATAATCAGGTCCTTGATCAGAGATCCTTGATCGGGCCTCACGCGGCCGAAATCGGACAGCAAGAGCACCGAGTTCTTCACCTGGTCCATCACTCGATAGAGCGCATTGGGATCTCCGGCGGCGATCACGTGATCCCTACCGCTGTTCCGGCGCCAGTACACCTGCTGCTCCAGCCACTGCACCAGCTCGTCCTGCATCTTCTCGTCGCTGTAGGCCTGATCCGCCCCAGGGCGATTCGTGTTCACGATCAAGCTGAGAGAAGAGAACACCGGGACGAAAAACAGGTCGGCCTCCTCCGGATCGAGGACCCTGACGACGGGCGATCCGACCCGCTCCTCCTCGGTCCGATTCAGATCGGCGAACAGGTACCATTCCCCCATGTGCTGGTGGCCCGGGTACCTCGACTTAGAGAAATCGGAGGAGCCGCGAGCCCTAGCGTGGCCCTCGATGATGCCGACGGTGAATTGCCTGGGGAGATCGTACATGAAAACCTTGACCCTGCTCGCGGCGACGGCGGAGCCGACGAAGACGTCATCGCGGACGACGCCGTCGGGGAAGAGGGGAGAAGGAGGGGAGTCGGTGGGGTGGAGGAAAGTGTTGAAGAAGGCGTAGAGGACGAGGACGAAGCAGGCGGAGCAGACGATGGTTTGTTTGACGAGGGAGGATTTTCGCGCCATTGCGGAGTGGTGATGGCTGGAGGAGGAGGAGGAGCTTTGGAATTTATTAGGGTTTCTGGATTTGGAAGGAGTAGACGGAGCCTCCATCGCGGCGGCAGAAAGTGGTGGTGGTGGTGGAAGCGCAGGCGGAAGTGGCGGTGATGGGCAGCGCAATTTTATATTATCGTGCGCTGGGTGCGTAGGATAGGATGCCACGGCTGCGTCGTTTGGGGTAAAGGAGCTCCTGGTCCTGCTAGCTAGCTAGCTAACGGTAAAGCAAAGCAATTTTGGGGATGGGAAATTGTGCAGAGACTACCTAGAATACATAAAAAAGAAAAATGGAATTTTAAACATTTGTCCGTACTCCATTCCTTTAAAAAATAAATATATACTATTATTTGTCAGTTACAAAAAAAAAACTTTCAATTTTGATTAATGTGTTCTACTTCTAGGGGAATTAAATCTAGGATATTGACAACTTCACATCTCTTCCCTACATAATAAATGGAGAAATAATAACTCATAATTGGCCTCTTAAAAATAGAAATAATTATTCTTGTAAATGCAATTGGGTTTTTGTCCATATGAATTAACGTATTGTAATGTTTGGATGGGTAGATTGCGACGTCCAAAATGCACATGAAACAATGTAACGACCAAATCTATACTATATATTATGGCAATTCAAAAGTAACTTCTTGCCACATAAGCACTTGGAGAATTCACAAGTTGCAAAGGTGGACAACATTTTTTGCAAACAAAAAATTTATTATTGATCTATTTATGAAGCTATCTCTCTCTACTTTTAATATTTCTACTCATTTTTACTAAAAATTAATAATAAATGACTTTTTTATGAAAATGTAAACAAACACACAAAAGTATAATATTTTTTTCAATTAAAAAAATATAAAGATGAAAATAGAGAGTGACTATATCGAATTTGTTTAAATAAAAAGTATATGATTAAATCTTATCAAGTAAAATTTAATAATAAGTTATATTTTGACAAAAACTTAAAAAAGTACACATATATAATAATATTTATATCAATTAAACAAAATATTAAATAGAAATATTGAAAACAAATGATTAAAAAAGTACACATATTTAATACTATTTGTATCAATTAAACAAAATATTACAATAGAAACATTGAAAACAAATGATTAAAAAAGTACACATATATAATAATATTTTTATCAATCGACTTTGAAAATGATATATATGAATTTAGATTTTTTTGTATTAACAACTCTCTTATTTCTAATATATTTTTTTCGTCGAATTATTTCTAATACATATTTCTATCAAATAAAAAAAGTCTTATATAGCAAAAGGTCCGAACATAAACTTGACTAAGCAATAATAGTTCTTTCTTTAAAAAACTTCTTATTCATCATGATTAAGTGAAAACATGTATTCATGTTCTATCTTCAGTTTCTCAAATTAAGAGTAATCAGGTGTGCAATAATTTATAATTTGTCCTAGGGTTTATATTAAAATATTCACTCTAGATCATATTAATTGAATAATCTCTATTGAGGTCATAAGTCGAATGCTAAGTAATTTTTTTTCCAGATTTGGAGTTATTGTCGAACATTATTACATCAAATTTTTCAAAATGACTTAAGTATGATTTTTGACGAGTTTTGACTTCATACCTAGGATGAGACACAATATCACTTAAAAAAACAGGTGTGAAGGTTAAGAAAATCTTCGTTGAAGATAATACGATAAACATCACGTTTCATCAACCACTAACCTTAGCATTGATCAAATAAGGGTTGAAAAAATTTATTTAATAGTTGATGTCTTAGTAGACAAATCTAAATTCGAGGATTGAGGCAATAAATAAACATAAGTGTGTTAGTAAGGCAATTGTAATAAAACATTGGGGTCGTTTGCTTCGTGGATTTGAAAACTGAAAGTTTTAATAAAACTTGGATTTTGTAAAAGCATGGATATATGAGGGTTTTTGGTTCATTATGGATTTGAAAATACCATATTTCGTTTCATAGATTTCATGACGCATTTGGTTAATTGAATTTGTATGTTGGAAGTGAAAATGACATATATTACCCTCATTGGTATGAGAAGAGAAATGAATTATGAGGGGTAGGTTGGTCATAAATAATAGACTTCAAAGTCCATGATCAATTTCCATCTAAAGAGGTGAAATTTTCAAGTCCTTGGAGCCCACGAATTTGGAACCTTAAAATACATGAGACCCACATATTTGTTGCCTCTAAATACATGACGCAAGCAATGGTTGGACAAAGTTCACGATAGCTCCAAATTCATCAAGCAAACAACCCCAACTATATGGTTGTGAGTCTGTGACTCCATACCAAATTTTGGCAATAGCAAAAACTTTTTCAATATCGAAGTCTCAAAATGGAAATCTTTCGGTTTGTAAGAGTAAGCAATTTGTATTTAGATCGAGGTATCCTAGCCACAAAATTTCGTTTTCATATTTCAGTCGATGAGCCGAGTTCAAAGGTATTATTCAGGGTTAAAAATTAAAATAAAATCGTTATACATATTCTTAGATATTAATAGATATGTCAGCAATACATTCAAGAATTCTAATGTATGTAAAATGTCACCATGTTTCTACGAGTTATTAACTTTTATAAAAAAAAAATTCCAAGAAATCATAAATAATCATTACTTAATATTGTTGGAATCTAAAACTAATTTAGTGCCACATCGGTACATGGCTAGCTCTCACCCTTCGACGCTGGACAAGGTCTAATTGGTGTGCTTTTTTGCTTACTCTTTAAATTGTCATCATTGAGAAATATGTGAAGGTTGGGAAGATTGTGTCCGAGCAAAATCATTAGCCAACTGCGACTGTAGTGGAGGAGACGAAGCTGTGGAAGAAACAAGAAAGTCAGAAATTTGAAGCCAAAAAGGAGCTCTGAGAAGGTGTAAGCTTGAGTTTGAAGCTTGAAAGGCAGCAAGGAGTTTACTTGATTATAGAGCTTATAGCCTGTAAGCATTAAGAGAAGATGGAAGCTTCGCTTAGAAGAACACCAAATGAAGCTGGATCAGAAAGAGAATCGGAGCTTAATGGAAGCCTTGAATTTCTTGTGTGCAAAAGATGTTGTTTGGAGCAAAGAAAGGAAGATGAACACCATGACTCGGCTGAATTTGTGTCTCTATGTACTTGTATCAAAATTGTTATATACATTGTATAAACCTTTACAATGATGGTCATATTTGATGGGCGATGTTAAAAAATGGTGCTGATTGTTTTCTCTTATCAGCCCAGCAAACAGTTTCTAGGGTGGAAGAAGATACTGGTGGTATAAGAATGACTAATGATGTCAGCGACGAGACGGAATTGCAGGAAAGCATACATCAAGACAGGGACACAAGCAACGGTTGTGATGGTCACAGTAGTCCATGTATAACTATAGCCAAGGGTCATGAAAAGGGTGGAGCTGAAGGCCATCATCATGGTGGCGATGGAGATGAAAAGGGTGAGAAGCCCGGTGAGCAGCTTGTTTGGTAACGAGGAGAGGAAGTCCTCTTCAGCATATCGTGAGGTCAGCATGGACAGGAATATCAAGATGGATGTCGCCGAAGAGACCAAAGCAAGTGCATCGGATATAACAAAGATCAAGAACGACTTGGTGTGGAGGTGAAGGGGCATGCCTGTATCCTGGTCGTTTCCACCAGGAACAGTGAAAGCCGCTGCAAACATCATGGTGGTGATGAGGGTTGCGACGACCATGCAGGAAGATGCAGTTTCCTTCATCCACTTCTCCCCATCTCTTGCCAGTTTCTTGTGTTCCGTTGCAAACAGATCGTGAGGAGTTTTCCCATCTGCATTCTTCATCTCGCTATATAGCGGTTGCACAATTTTCTCCACTTCCTGCATTCAGGGCTTGCAGTAAAAGTAACCCGAGTCAAGACATTACAGTTAACATCAGACAAGAAAGCTTCAGAGCACAAGGAATTGGATCTAAACCTTGAACCATAATATCTCACGTCGCAACTGCAAAGCTGCACCATTGTCTGTGTTCAGTCGACTTGGATGGGGAAGCTTCCCAGCCAAGTGCAACATGTTATTGTTCTCTTCATCCTTATAAATAGCTATAAAGTCCTTCAGTGCTCCTATCTCATTGATAAGACTGAAGACCTTTTCTTGTCGATGCACCACTGCCGTGTGGAATATGCTTCTAGAATGTTCGTCAACCTTCCAAATCAGGTCAGGATAGGAGCGAATCAGAATGGTTAAGAACTCTACCATTCCGAGCTCTGCAGCTGTGAAAAGCAGCCGTGTGGGTGTCCTGATGAACTCTTTAACACTCGCATTGTCTAGATGCAATATCAGATCCCAAAGTCGCTTTGCCAGCTCAAGGGCTTGAGTGTGACTGAGCTTCATGTAGTATATCAAATTTGCATCTGGGACTGCAGAAATGTGTTGAAATAGATGGTCAACGCAGTTAAGCTGCATAAGGTAGGAGCAACACGAGCGATACTACGAACTTACCAAGATGAGCGACACTTCTTCCTATCGCTGGTGTTGTTAGTAATGCCATCACAAAGAAGATAACAGTTAGTGATGTCAAAAGAGGAAGCAAAACTGGACAACATCATCCTAAGAACGCAAGTCTGGAAAGTTGGTAAGTATCCTCTTGCACAAAGAACTGCTATACAAGACATCTTTGGAAAAGCTTTCACTGCTTAAAGCTGGTTACAGGCATTTATGGATTGTTGTAGAGTACGGTTGAAGTGTTTTGATGTGACCCCTGATTTCTTGAGTTCCAAGTAAAAGAAACTGATTGCACAAACTTGTTTTATTATTTACTGTAGAAATGCATGCACTTGTACAAGTTATGTGCATGTTGCTAATGAGACAGAGAGAGAGAAGAACCTCGGAGAATACGTCGGCCTAGACGATCATCTTGCATAGAACCAGAGGACCCCATAAATGGCACCTGGATACCTTCAACATACCACGAAGTAATACTCAGAAATATTAAGCATCTAAAGCATTTCTGACCTTCAATTAGAGGAATTCACATTGTTTTAATGGGGAAACTACTCCAATTTGGGATGTAAATCGATAATCCTGGGAACGTAATTACTGGAACATGATCACCATGGCATCATCACAGGGGGCCACATAAGCCATCTTACTGATAGTAGAACACTGATATGTGTAAATAGTGCAGAACTTGGAAGGTGCAACTAACATGAATAGATGCATCTCCTCCAAAGGCCCAATTGAGTTCCACTGTAAAATGCACCTGGCTTTCGGCACAACACATGAAGAGCTGATTCGCCATTTGCATCTCGAGTTGTAGCTAATTCAGGATGGTTACGGAGCAGTGCCAAAGCTAGATCTGGTGGAAACAAATGCTTCTCTAGATATGGTTAGTACTTATTACTCACTATGGACATCTGCAGAGTAAAAAACAGTAGCTTAATGAGTAGTCGAAGTTAAGGTCAAAGGTACCAAATAGATCGGATGTGATAGCAGCCACAAGAAGTCCAATTCGATCCTCTCCAGAAAGAGCACTGTCTTCTGTAACAGAATAAAGATACCAAGCCACATCTCTTTTCCCCAAGAGCACAGCCATGTAGAGCGGCGTCGCTCCTTTACTGCCTCTAAGTAGTGGCAAGCTTCTGTTCTTGTTCACCAACACTTTGGCGATCTCCGTGACACCAGCGACTGCAGCGAAACACAGCGCCGTGTTCCCTACCTTGTTCTGCAGGGCCAAGTCATCTGCCGTCATCCTCTTAACCAGCTTCCTAACAAACACAATGTGCCTCGCGCCAGCTGCAATGTGAAGCGCAGTTTCTAGCCCCCTTGTGATGTAAGCACGAATCGACGTGGGGTGCCATTGCAGGTAAGCCTTAGCCGTCTTCCAATCGCCTTTAAGCGCAGCAAGGTAAAGCGGAACGTGCCTAGGATAGCCCTTGAATCTTTTGTCCCCTGCCCAGAGTTACTTTCAATCATCATCATCATCATCCTCATCACACACACGCACACAGACAATAATGTCACATTCTTTTTTCACACACTATCTAACATTTCTGTGCCCTACTCTTGGAACCATACCTAAGGCTAACTTGGCTCCATCTGCATATTTGTTGTCACTTGGAGCCGTCATCTCTAGCGCTGAATTCTCATTAGAGGCCTGCAACGTCAGGAGAGGGTCGAACCCAGCGACCTTGCATTCCCCGGAGGTCCGAGCAGGGGAAGCGCGAGGGTGATTAATGTCCAGGCTTCGCCGTACCCCTGAGAAAGGCGAACCCGAGGGCTCCAAATTTGGGGCCCGATTATTGGTGTAGAGTGCGTTGTCATACATTACGACATTAGAGGAGCGATGTGGAGGCAGGGAAGACATGGGAGAGAAGTTTGGGAAAGAGAGATCCCTCACATCGCAGGAATACGACTTGAGGTGGAGGGCCGACCTAAGATCGGATCTGTACTCTGAACCCTCCGTCGATTTTGTGTCGGGGAAGCATGACTTGATGGAGGGGCTCCTCCCCAGTTGAAACGAATCAGTGTTTCTTGACCCCATTGTTTCTTTCTTCTGCTTCGATGTCCCTAAGCCAGCTAAACCGATCATCATCAATTCATTAGGCGCCGATCAGAATGTACCAATTGCTTCCTGATTCCTCCGGGAGAGAGAGAAAGAGACAGAGAGAGAGAAAGGACGAAGTGAGTACCTGAGAAGAATGGCGACGGTGGGAATGAGAGGAACGTTCCTTCGGCGCTTCACTGTCGACGGAGCGGGGAAACGTCGCAGCTTCAGGGAGAAATTCATTAAACTCAAAACTCGTTCCTTGCCTTTCTCCTTTTTTCGCAGGGAGAGGCCGTTGGCAGTTGCTACGAAAGCATATATACGATTTACGACCATTTGGAAGTATGGGAACTTCGTTCGTTGCTAAAGATTGAACATTCGTTTACCAAAAAAATAAATAAAGATTGAACATTCAGCTGAGACTACGGGCTTGTTAATTGAATCATCAATGAACTTTGCTTCGAAAACAATAAAACCACGATCATGCCCCCTTCTAGTTTGGTCCATTTACAAACAAGTCCCTTTACTTTGATTTTTAACGAACAAACATTCAAGTCGCCTCACATGCTCGTCTATGGAAAACTCACTTTGCATACCACGCTAGCCCGTCTTCTAGATCTGACAAATTAGTAAGGGTTATAGGTATAATATGTTCCTCTACTACGACGTTTTATCAAATATGTCTTTCTACTATTTTTTACATCAAACATTTCCTTGTACTTTCTAAAAATTATCAAACATGTCCTTTTACTTTAAAATTTCATCCAAAAACCGTTAACCAAGGTCGAACTTTGGTTTGGGCGGCACAAATGTCTAAAATATCCCTAATAATTTCACTTTTAATTTTTTTTTTGTCTTTTGTATAGCCAAATAATTCAAATAATTTCACTTTGAAGACACCCAGAGAAATACAACGGGAGATAAAACTGACATTTTCTCTCCCATTTGCCGATGTCGGGTCGTCTAAATCTCGGTTCAACCATGATTGACGATATTTTCAATGAAAATTTTAACATAAGGGCATGTTTGATAATTTTTTCATAGTACAGGGGCATGTTTGATGTAAAAAATAGTAAAGGGGCATGTTTGATAAAACGTCATAGTAGAGGGTCATATTATACCTATAACCCAATTAGTAAATTACGATCCAATCCAAACCCGCCCAAAAGATAGAAAGTTTTATAACCAAAAATTCAAAAGACCCAAACCCAATTAACCTGTGATTTTTTGGGTAGGGTTGGGTCCCTTCCATTTCATATGTAACTATCAAAATGATAAAATCACTTACAAATTGGTGAGATGTTTAAAAGAATTGGCAAGGATTTGAAAAACATGTTTGGAGTTTAAGGATAATCAAATATCATGTATTTCTTGTAGTAGTATTACTCTTATGATTTGTTTTTTGACGATTTGTACAATTTGTGTTTCATTTCATCGCCATGGGAATATTTGAGAATATGTTAATTGACATGTGTTAGGTAAACTATTGTCATGCATATGTGAAGATTTTTGTTCTTTAAAAAAATATGAAACATGTTTCATACTGTTTCTGTGAGCGCTCATAACGCGAAATGACATGTAACCCGACCCAAAACTTAATGGGCTGGATCAATATTTGACCTGAATTAAGCCAATCCAACATGACCCAACCCGTAACTTGAAACCTCAACCCAAAATCACCCAACCCGACCTGATTGCCAAGTTTACTATCTTCCTGTATCATAGGCATTTTGAGAGCTGTTTAATTACGGTCGTCGCTTCCGAGTGTACCAGAAGCCTTGGTCCGCCCAGATTTTTTCGACGCTCACAACCTCGCCAACACAAAATCATATTCATTGTAGGGTTGATCAATCTAAGTCTAGTAAGTACTCCATTTAGTACACGTATATGTTCCGTACGTATTTTATCCGTTTAAAACTTTCGTATTCGTATTATTGTCAAGCCGTTTTATTTATTTCCATTCATTTGATGGCTCCAGTACTAAACACGTATAAAACTCGTATAACACGTTTAATAGCCGTATTTAATGAATTAAATTGATAACTTTACTATTAGTTATATATTTATTTATTTATAAAATAATTAATTTTATATATAATGACTATTAATATACTATTAAACGTAACATTAGCATAGAGACCGTATAAAAAGCAATCAAGATGCGTGTGGTTGGTGTTCGTCCTAGTACTCTTCTGTGCTCGGCCATTATCGTCTCTATCTTCGATTGCCTCTCACCTCGAGATCTCAATGTAGTCTGAAATTTCTTCATGTCATCACAGATAGTGGAGATCTCTGTTCACCTCAGAAGGCCATGTTAGCCACAGTTGGGATTTCCTAATTAATCCTGCTTAGTAAAATCCTTCATCAGGTTATCAATAGGTCGGATTCAATCCGGTTCTTTCCTTGTAAATTCTACTTGGTAAAACAAGCTTTCATTAAGTTGCCAACTAGTAAGATCAAAGACAGTCTCTATCCAATCCCTACCCACTTGGGATTCGAGCAATGATCTTAGATTCTTAGTCATTATCATTCTACAAGCAGCTTGATTAATGATCTTAGTAAAATATATGAGGACCCAAGGTACATAACAATTGACGATGTTCTGAAGATGATGGAGAAGAAGCCTACCACCATGAAACTATTTGTACAACCGGGAACAAAAAACGAACACAAGAGGCACCAGATCTCAGAATTCTCAAAATTGACAAATGAATCTTACGGATTATATAAACGTCTCTTTCACCCCACTCCTCCAGCTTTCAATACTCGACGAATGCATCATCTAAAAGCCGAAAATTATAAAAAAAAGGCTATTCGACTCAATGAGACGGACTGAAGTTATCAGACTACTTGGTAATTCTCTGTAACCAACTGCGTCCTCTGGGAGAATTTTGGAGGAGCTCCGCCTCTGAGAGGAATGACAGTGGCAACCTGCATTCCAACAGCATAAGATGTTTCAACTTTTACAGCGTCGGAAAGCGCCTAGGCAATTTACGAACCCCAAAATGAAACAATAGATGGCATTAGCAGGACAGAAAAGCACACCTTCACGTCACTGTATGTACTAGCAGCTGAGAATCGGACAGAAATGGGGAAGAAAGCTGACGTATCTGCTGGAGGTACAACAAACTCCATTGATCCGCTGCAAAAAGAAGACGAGAGAATCAAATACTGCGTCAAAACCAACCTAGCGTGAGGATACGCCATCAAGAATTCTTCACTTTCGGCACGAATGAAAATATCGGTTATTAGATTACCTGCGGTTCGAGTTATCGATAAGAAGAATAGACCATTCCAAAACAGAATTTCGGGAATCAAACCTACAAGTTCGAAAACACATGTTAGTGACTCACAGTTACATTGCATATCATGTTTATGGGAGTTCAATTTGAACATAAAATCATGGCAGCCAGTACTCAATACAACTACATGTGCATTCACATGAACTTCCTTTCGGTTTCCTTTTACTATACCCGGGACCTCTTTATATGCACAAAGATTTACAACATCCGAAATCACGTACTGCTCTTCCATCCAGCTTATTTTTACCCCGTTCCAATTTCAAATGGACGATGATTCACTGATATGGCTTACTGCTCGAGAAGAAGCTCCAATAAACCCAAAGAAGAAAATATATTTTTCACGGCAAATGGCACCGACTTTGTTAGAGGGTATCATTTCCCAGTATATAGAACTCCGCTTTAATTTAATCACCTTCCACAAAAACAAAACTAAGTTCATTACCTCCACTCGCCATCGACCTGCCTAACACGTGGTGCCTCTCTTAGAGCTGGAAGAGGAACTGAGATGAACACATTCTGCAGATCGAACATGGACGAAGATTCATATTCAATGCTGACATATGTCTCGTTTCCGGACACAGAGGGCCAGCAGTTGACTGCAATGTAAAAAGACATCTGGTAGATCAGTACAAGAAATACGTGGTCCATCGAAAGAGTGAGAAATAATATAGTAGCACAAAAAATCACGCACTTATTAGTGGCACCATTGACTCATCTCCACTTTGCATTCTCCACTTCAAAAGACCAACGCCAGCAGCATCACCAGTTTGACCAGTAGGAAAAGGCCTATTTGGGTCCTTCAAGCCCAGAATATTCTCATTTGCAAATAGTTCCTTGTTCATGTTAGGGTGAGTCTTGAAAATGACGCCTTGGTTCCGGCTGGTTTCAATCTAAATGAATGAAACAAAGACGCAGTTAACAGCATGCACATTGCCATGATTAATGTAGTTCTGATGGAAGCCTGGTTTCCATCTTATTTTTTATATTCGCACAATTATTTATGCTTTTATGATATTTTTGGAATTATCGGGATATTTGAGTACACTTTAAGGGGCTTTAGGGTGTTATTTGGTATTTTCGTGATAATGGTTAATTATGGGTAGTTTAAGAGAATTCACCGGGTTATATATTCTGTAACTGTGGTATGGATTCAATTAAGCACCTACAGAAGAAAAACTGTCCCTAAAACTAATCTCTCTCTTCCTTCTCTCCTTCATCCTCCCTCCCAAACGAACCCTTCTTCTTCTCACTTTCTTCTATCCTAAGCTACCTCTATCTCACCCCCCAATTTATCCCCGATATCTTCTAAATCCCTAACTCCCAATCCAATTCTCAACTATCTAACCCTACCAGGGACCCCGCTAGACCCTGTTTCCATCAAGTTCTCATACCAAAGCATAGGACTGTGTTTCTAAACAGACTTCATGCAACACAGCGCTATATATTACTAGCAGAAAAGACCAACTCATAAGTCAAAATGTAAATATTACTCGTTGTAATAAAGATATAAGTAATATATAACAGTTTTAACCTAGATCTAGAAAGAAACAATGATTCTGTGACAGAGAAGTTACAAAATGGAACACAACCGAGGGGGGAGATGTTCAACTTGACAACCATGCCTACATGCTCATAGGGGAGGCCACTTCAGATTTACAGGGGGGAAAAGTAGGGGAAAAGATGGAGAGAAAACCTGAACTTGGATCAGCCCATCTTCCTGGTTAAGAATCTGAAGTGACAATTGCCCTTGAACATCAAAGTTGCTTATTCCACCATCCCGTTTCAGAGTGACATTCAGCTTCTCCTCCACATTAAGAGTGATTGGGTCAGTTAGTGGTGCAGCAACGGTTCTTACTTGACCTGCACTTGGTTGCACTTCTTCATTGATGACTTCACCTTCTGCCTTCAAAGACTCCAAGAACTGGTTTGTCCTTTGAGTTTTACCAAGTTGCATGCCAAGACCTTTAGCAGGTGCAGTAGCAGATGAAGGTGGACGACCTGGCATCACCAAGCAAAGTGTTGAGAAATGTTCCGCCCAGTAAATGAGTCAAACTAACTAAACAGCAAAATTAAATTAGCAGCACAAGTAGCATCAACCACATAAAGTTTTGAAAGGAAAGTGAAACAATAGGAAACCACTCCTGTTCAGAAAACAGCAACTTACAAACACAACTCACAATGATCAGCCAACCTAAAGACAAGATAACCAATAAAGTCACACAAGTAGCACAAGATGCAGAACAAACCTTTTGACTTGCTGGAGAACGAGTCGACATCAGTGTTCAATCCAAACCCAGAACCACTTCCAAAGCCACTTCCACTGCTAGAAAGATTCATATCATTGAAGCTACTCTCGATTCTTCCAGAGCCCATTGATTGTAATGACATGAACCCTCCCTTCTCGCCCCTATTCTTTTCAAGCTGAAGGAAATGAAAGATGTTATCAGAACTTTAACCTGCAATAAAGTTAACCTTTTCCAATAAAATGTTGATGGGTGCAATTCAAAAACTTCAGCAGACACCTTGCTTTTGTCAATTTCACTAGCTTTTCGCTTCATGACATCCTTGGTTTCATTGATCTTGCTCTGCATTACTAGCTTATGCAATTTCTCTTCATGACTCTCCATCTCACAGTACTGCTTCACCTGGGCAACAGTTACATTGTCCTTGTGCCCAAGGGAGATGACCTCATCAAAGGCAAAAATCAACTCGAAAGCTGTCTTGCAAATACCCTCTTCATCAAGAGACATAGCATACTCGGGTACCTAATTTAAGAACAAGGATATCAATTGAAAGCCTTGTCAGATCATCAGGAATAAAATAGTGCATCTGAGAAGAAATGGTCAAATAGAATAGGAAAGCCACAGAAGGATGTATTCAAATTATATATAAAAAAAACACATTGAAGGAAATCAACATAGGTCAGAAGAAGGAAGATACCAGCTTAGAGAGGAGCCGAAGAGTCTCTAGATCTTCAAGAATGTTGCTCTGCTTATTTGTCACGAGCAGTAAGTACATAAGCTCTATTGGCTGGTACACATAGCGCACATTCTCAGTCTCAACATATGTATGCTGCTTTCCCGTACCCACCAACTTGGGGAATGCAGCCAGAAGACCTTCAATCCGTATACGAGACATGTCCACAAACTGCCTAGAGACAAGAACTGAACCGAAAACAAAGAACCGTTAATGCAACCAGAAGCTTGGTCACTTCCAATACAATAGCCTCTATCACTAATGGCAATACTGATGCACCCACAATAGCACATACTTCAAGAAAAGCTGTCATACAGTCCAAGAACAGGTCAAATTTGGCACTACACAAGCAAAGAACTCAAATGAACGACACTGCATCATAAATGTAACCTAATTTCCTATACCTCGCAGATCACAACATTCTGCAGCATGAACTGCATGTTCTAGAACAAAAAGAACGATGCGCTGAAGCTTTCGGAAAGGAAGACACTGGATCGGATGTAAAGGAACAAGAAGACTCACCTTTCCCAGACTTGGTTACAATAGAAGCTGCAAGCACAACCTGCACAGATGGAGTAAAACACACAATTCAGATCAAGGATCAATCAGAGAAAGAGAGAGGAAAATCGAAGTGCACGAAGCTTACCATCTTGATTGATAGAACGACGAACGAAGATACCACCGCACACGAGAGTTCGACTTCACCACCTAGAAACCGAAGTTTCAGTCAGCCACACGAACTTATCAAATTGTACAAGCACCGGTGTTCGGATCAATCACAGCAGAATCCGAATTCAATCTAAATCTCAGGCTTCCAATGCCAACGGATGCATACCAAAGAGATCTACGTAATTGAAGAAGCGCCAAGCTCAGATCTATATTATCAGCTCAACAGGCCGCAGTACCACTCTGTTTCGCCTACCGAATGAGAGAGAACGACATAAAACTAAGCGAACAGTACGATTTCGAAGTCGACCGATTGCAAATTGGGAATGCGTTAACTAAAGTTCTTCAGAGTTTTACAAGGATCGCCGGAAAATTGAACGGATAATAACCGGAGGAACGAGATCGCCGCCGAGATTGAGGTTTTAGGAATTTGTAAACGGAGAGGGATAGGAAGAAATTACAATGACGCCGGAAGAGATCTGAAGAAGAAGAAACTTACCTCTGGATCTACTGATTTCAGTTCTTGTCTCCTGAATTGCCAAGGAAGAGAGGAAGAAGCAGCAAAGTGTGCGTTTCTCGCGATCGACATGGGATTCCAATTTCCCGAACAAACTGGGTTTTTATCCAATTGAGTTTCATGATGGATGGCCCATTTGAAATCCAGATACAGCATTATGGATCTTCTTCGGCCCGCTAACTTACAGTTTTTTTCTTATATATAAAAAATAATAATTTCATGATATATGGTTGTGTTTTTTACATTTTGATGCCTTCTTAATATGATTTTTTTAATGGTTTTCAAGGTACAAAGCAATGTAGGAAGATTTGGATAACTCTGTAGGATCAAAAGAGGTATAAAGAAAAGAATATAGAGCTTTCATGTTAAAGACGAGGTTCAATAACGGAGAAGCATACTAGTAACCATGAGTAGAGTCCAAGAGTAGCCCAATGGAGGAAGACTCGGCCAAAGCAGAAGAAACAACCAGCGCCTTGTGTACCGCTGCTCAAAGGTCAAACCCAAACAAGATATCCTTAGGTCATGCTTCGGCCCCAAGTCAAAGAAACTGTGTCCTAGTAGGGTTAGGAAGATTTTGGTCGTGCTCTACCACTATAAATAGGGATCAAGGCTCATTAGTTATGTAGGCTGCACAATTTCACCCAAAACTTTTTGTAGACACTCTGTTCGAGTGAGAGCTTAGCATTCGGCTTAATTGCAAGTTTGATCACTCGAATTGCTACAAAATTTCACGTTTGGTCACTAAAATTGGGTTATTCCATTAATAGTCACTTAAATTAGTTGAACAGTCCAAGTTCGGTCACTCTCCGTTAACCTCCATTAGACTCCGTTAATGATGACCGTTAAGTGATGACGTGACTAATAGAAAATCACAGTCAGCATATTTTAACCATAAAAAATGACTACCCGACCCACCACGTCAGATTTGCTCGCCATGTCACCCTTCCCTACCCAACCTGCAAACCAACCCCATAATCGACCCAACCCCAAACCCCCTTAATCTGAAAAGTAAAATCGAAACAGGAAAGGGTAGGTCACTTTCCATTCTCCATCGTCCTCTCATCCTCCATTGCTTTTCTTTTCACTTCATTTATGGGTTCTCCGTTTCCCTGTGGCAGGAGCAACGATTCGTTGCTAGATAACAGTAATCATGCCTATTTTCCCGGAGAGCAGCACAATTGGGGACCAAATCAGGCTCAGAAGGTCTAGTAGAAACAACTTCCATTCCCATCATCTTCAGCCATTAGCTAGACCCAGCAGCAGCAGCCAAAACAGATCCCAACCCACAACTCTCTCGCCCTCCCAAATCCACCACCATCTCTTCCCTCTTCATCTCCCCATTCTCCCCTAACTCAAGAGAACCCACCACAATCACCATCGCCAACAACAGTACTGTCTGCGGCAAGAAGATGGGAACCGCTGCCTTCAGAGGCTTGGGATGCGCTGTTGGGGCTGCCCGTCAGGTGTCGGTCCCGGCGGTGATAAGGTCATCAGCGGAGTGGGATGGAAAGAAAGTAAAGAAGAAGATGAAGAAAAAAGTTGTGGTTGCGTCTCCTGGTCCTCCCCCGCCACCGTCGCAGCAGAGGAGGAAGATGAGCGAGCAGCATGGGATTGTCGATTTTACTTTTCAGATTCAGGGGGGTCGGGTTTGGGGTTAGGTCGATTATTGGGTTGGTTTGCGGGTTGGGTAGGGAAGGGTGACATGGCGAGCAAATTTGACGTGGTCGGTCGGGTAGTCATTTTTTAGGGTTAAAATATGCTGACTGTGATTTTCTGTTAGCCACGTCATCACTTAATGGTCGTCATTAATAGAGTCTAATGGAGGTTAACAGAGAGTGACCGAACTTGGACTGTTCAACTAATTTAAGTGACTACTAATGGAATAAACCAATTTTAGTGACCAAACGTAAAATTTTGTAGCAATTCGAGTGACCAAACTTGCAACTAAGCCCTTAGCATTCATAGAAGAGAGTGCAACTAAGGAGACACCTCCATCATTGATGGTGGCACCCTCCTTCTCTTTAATGTATAGCTAGTTTGACATTTTTTCCCGGTAATTGGTAGTTTGACATTAATTGTATGAGAATGTGAACTCATTTATCTGTGTATGTATAGAAACTATGATTTCATATGATGTTTGTATTTATACTTATGAATTTTGATGCTTGTGATGTATGCACGGATGCTTTGGTTTCGATGCTTATGTGATTATCATTGTTATATATCTAGTATGAATGCTTTCTCATCATCGATGCTTATGACTCTATAGTATGCTACAATATGCATTATGCTTAGTATCATCTGGGTTGTTAAGAAGTTACCCTCTAATGATATCGCATTGATGCCACACGACTATAGAGGGAATGACCAACCATCTATACTTTGAGTATATCAATGCTTGATTGTTAGATCATCGTTGCTATAGGCCATCAATTATGGTTCAAGAGGCTCACACTTAATCATGTGTTATCCTCACTTCTCCGTTCTTCATTGAATATGTGATGGCATGAAGCAAAAGCACGCATTAGCTAGTGAAGTTCTATTGCATGTGGCGAAAGCTCGAGTAGGATGAGTTTAGTAAAAGGGATAGACTAATGCTATAGATGAGTCATCTATGCATGATATGGATGAGTTTTGATAGGTATGATAGTAATCGAGTATGCTTTCTTGTTTAATAACATAATCTTTTTTTTATAAGGGTGATATAGGTTTCTTGTTTGTAATTAACGTACTACTTAAGGGGATTTGAACCTGGGACCTTCGGGTTCTAGGCTAGTGGTATTACCACTTGACCAAGCCCTTGTTCGTTTAATAACATAATCTTTACTTTTATGCATCTATATAACTTGAAAATCCCCTAAACAACTCTACTCTTCTTGCTTTGTTTTGCTTTGTTGGGTTTACTCGAATAAAACCCCCTAAAATTCTATAATATTCTTGTTCGAACATAGATAGTGTGGTGTGAGTAGTTATTCATTAGAAGACCTTCTGGAATACGAGCCTAGCGCATACTAGGAATTTTATCACTTACATGTTATATGTGCATCAAGTTTTTGGCGCCATTTCCGGGGATTTCTATTCGTATATAAAAGCATCTAACCATCTTATGTCACTTTTGGTTTAAAGTTTAGTGTATTTTGCAGGTTTTCATATAAGTTCACTAAGTACTAGAAGAAAAACAAAAAATATGAAGATAGTGCAAGAGATCGTCCAAGAATGAGAAGCATCAAGTTCACCTATCTTGAGGAAGAAGTAAGGATCATCTAGCTTAGGAGAAGAGTGGCCTTTAAGTCACACCAATTTCGAGCCAAGCTTGGAACATGAGAAGAACATTGACGGAGACAAAAACAAACAAAATATGAGAATTATCAGACAAGAGAAGAATTGGGGATTTCTAGGAGGTGAATGATGTCTGACAAATGTATCATGTGGATGTCAGACTGGTGGGCTATGTGGGTGGTGGACAGGAGAGGTAGATGCAACACTGATGTCCTCTACGACCCATTATATATAGACATTAAAGTGGTCAAGAAGAATGTTGGCTTGTGGCGGTATATAGGTGTCTATGGGTTGTTAGAGAGTAGTGGGAAATTTAAAACTCGGGATTTGCTATGTAGGCTGGTAAATTAGTGGAGGGGTCGTGGTTATGCGACAATAGATTTCTACCAAGTTCTCTCGGCTAAAGAGAAGAGTGGATGACACAGTACTCATGAGATGGAGATGCTTGATTTTTCGTAAGTACAGAACTTGGGTTTTCATGGTACGAGATTACATGAGAAAATGGACATAGATAAAGTGGTTTCAATTATGAGCGACTAGATAGATTTGTTGCAACTGAAAATTGGTGGAACTATTTCTCTTTAGCTCGAGTTACCCACCTTGATAAAAAGTTGCTCAGACCACAAGCCAATCATATGCGAAATAAAGGAGGGAGGAGGATGTCGAACCCAAATGGGCTGGTCCTTTAAGTTTGAGTCGCATTGGGACAAACATGCAGAGTTTCATAATGTGATCCGAGAGGCTTGGTCGTAAAATGAAATAGAAGGAAATGTTGCTAAATTGGCTCCATGTAGCAGAAGCTTGATGATCAGATTCATCAAACATTCCCATTTTTTCAAAACAAAGGGAGCGTATAAGACGAGCCATGCAAGCATTGGAGAGGAGGGTGAAAACAAAAAGGGTTTTGCAGTAGATGAGGCAACTTGAAATGGAGTAGCTGAACTAGAAGATAACAAGGAGCAATACTGAAATCACAATCTCATGCAGATTCGCTATGTGATGGAGATTAAAATACGACCTTTTTCCATTATAAGGTAACAACCCAACATAGACGCAATGATATATGTAAGTTGAGGGAAGAGTTAGGACAGTTGTTTAACGGGACAAAACAAATTTTTAGCTTCATGATGAAATATTTTGAAGATCTATTTCAAGTGGGTAAAATTCATTGTAGTTAGCAATCATGGACTCTGTGAAAGCTATTGTAACAGAGAGTGACAACGAGGCCCTGCTCTGACCTATATCATTAGAAGAAATGATGGCGGTGTTATTATAGATGGGATGTTGGAAGGCATCAGGGGTAGAAGGTATGTCAATTATGTTTGTCCGCCAGTACTGGTAACTTATAGGAGAAGAAGTGTACCATATGGTGCATCAAATTTTGGAAGAAGAAGTCTTGCTGGAAGCACCGAGGCGCTTAATTATACTCTAATTGCGCTAATACCTAAGGTAAAATTGCCAAAGGAATTTCGGCCAATAAGCCTATGTAATGTCTTGTATTAATTGGTATCCAAGATGTAGCACCATGAGAGAAAAAATTTGAGTCGGTTATTTAATCGACACTAGTTTTTTACTATTTGTGTCGGTTACATATATGTCGAGTATAACCGACACAATTCCCTGACTATTTGTGTCGGTTATAACTGGGATAATCTTTGAATTGAGTTAGTTTCTAACCGACTCAAAAGTGTAAATTATATTCTTTTATTTGCCTCTGATTTTCCTCATGCTTGCCCAAAAATCTCCCTATTTCCAAAATTATACTTGCCCAATTTTTCAGAAGCCATACTTTTCCACAAGCTCCTTCTCTCCTCACCTTATTCGAATAT